ATTTTTATTATTATTATTATTTTTTTTTTCGCTTAGCTAAATGTTTTTTTTCTCGTTCGTTTCGTCGAATCGAAAAAAAAAAATAAAAAAAATGGCGTGACGTGATTTTGTTTAATTAATACTTAATGATGATATCTTCTGCTTCAAATTTTACTAAATCAATTTTGTTGTTTTCCCTTTTTTGTAAAATAATAATAATAATAAAGAAAATTTTCCGATGAGAGATGAAATGACGTCATTTTTACCTCACGTAAAAAAAAAAAATTTAATTTTTGAAAATTTAATGTATGCTTTCTCTCCCCTCTCCCCATTTTTTTTTTATTAATAATAATAATAATAATAATTTTTAAGATAGTGAACGTATTCGGGTTGTTATTATTATTGTTATTATTATTATTATTATTTAATTGGAATAAGAAAAAATTTGTTCGAAAAATCAAATTCGAAACGTCGAAACGAAAGGAGAAAATTTTTTTGTTTAATGTTTGTAATATTACCCCCTACTTTTTACCCCTCCTACCCCCTCCCCTCGCGTTTGTTTTAACGATTTTGTAGTGCGTCATCGTTTGTTTGCGTCTTTGAGATTTTTTTTATCTGTCTCAGATGTTTGTATGATGGAAAAACGAAAGCAATTTACAGGGAAAAAGAAAATTTTTCGAAATTTTTTGTAACCGTTCACTTTTTTTTTAATTTTTCATCTATAAGGTAAACATTATTTAACGTTAAAAATCCGTTCGCTCTTTCGTTTTTTTTTCTTTTAGTTTACGTTTGTTGCTATTAAATAAACGATTTAGCGCCTGCTTCATAAAAAAAAAAGTAAAAAAAAATTCACATTCGAAAGTTTTTTTTTGTCGTCGTTTTTGTTATTTCGACAAACACGTTAGCCGAACGTATTAGTATCTGACACGTTCTTAATAAAAAAAAATTTTTTTTTAAACAATAAAAACGAATCGATCCGGAAAAAAAAATTTTTTGTACGAATTTATTATTATTATCTTTCTATAAAAACAGGAAAATCGTCGAGTTATTAAGGTATCCCTCCCTCACTCCCTCCTCTCCGAAATAAAAGACTGTAAAGTGAAATTTTTCGATTTTTTCGGGGGGAAGAGAGAGTTGGTAAAATCGTTTCTGTCATTTAAAAAAAAAAAAAAAGTTTATGTTTACCTGACATAATTTCGGAAGGAAAAGTTGAAATTTAGGGTCCGTGGGAAGAGAAGGGGGAGTGGTGGTGGTAGTGATAAGAGGCATTATTAATGATAAGCAAACAAAAGCGACGACAACAGCTGCAGAGCAAAAGAATAAATGCATTATTTACATAAATTATTAATAAATATATGAAAATTAGGTCAAGTTTTTTTTTTTGTCGTCGTCACCGCCACCGCCGCCGACGCCGCCACGTTCACCACCACCACCTACAACATTTTACTATAATTTGCATGCTTTTATTCCTAATTTTTCCTTTCCTCCTACTCCTCCTCTTTCCCTCCCCCTTCTTATCTTTCCTTTTTACTTAATGTTTACCCGGAAAAAAAAAAACGTTTCGATAAATTTGTAAAAAAAAACTTTTAAACACACACACACACGATCGATATTTCGTCGTGGCATAAGAAAAACTTTTGCAAAAAAAAAAAAAAGTAATAAATTATTTATTGTTTCGGAGTAATAAAATTGATACGTGCAAAAAAAAAAACGTTAAAGGTACTGTTACGTAGGTGTGTGTGTGTGTGTGTGTGTGTGTGTGTGTGTAAACTAATGAAATTTTTATACAAATCAATTTATTTAAACGAAATTTTTTTTAAAACGTCGAAATCAATCGGGCGACGCCGCCATTTTTTTTTTTTAGACTACCCACCTTGAAAAAACAAAAAAAAAAATTTATTAATCCAATTAAAAATCGTTTTTATGCTTTTAATTAGAGTTTTCATTTTTTTTTTTTTTCGGACGTGGAGAAAGCGTGAAAGAGATGGCGAAAAGGGGGGAAAATGAGGAGGGATGGGGAAAAAAGGGGGCAAAAGGAAAGGGGGAGACTTTCGATCATTTTTAAATAAAAAACAAAACGAATCGAAAAAATTCGAACGTTTTTTTCCATTGTATGGAGGAAATTAAAGATGAAAAAAGACACAAAAAATTATTATTATCATTATCATTATTATTATTATAATTATTATTATTTATATAGAGCTATAAATACAGCAGTAAGGGAAATTTTTTTTTTTTTGGGTCTGATTAGTTACGTAAAAGTTAAAAAAAAAACGAAACGAAAGGTCAAAATAAAACCGACGTAAAAAAAAAAGAAAAATCAATTTTTTTGTTTTTTTGTTTTTGTTTAATTTTACCAACTTTTGGAGAAAAAAAAAAACAATTTTACCAACTTAAAAATTTTCTAGTAAAAAAAATTTTAAAAAATTTTTATTTTAATGTCGCTATGACGTCGATACTTCATTATTCACGCAATAATTAAAAAAAAAAAAATTAAATTAATTTATTAATAAATTTTTATGTACATAATAAAATATGATAATGTATGTATTTTTTAACGATGATAATAATAATAATAATAATAATAATATATTATTATATAATTAAAATAATTTAATATTCGTTCTAAATCAAAAATAATTTTTTTTTTTTTTAGTATTTTCGAATTACTTTTTATATTTTTGATGTCGTCATAGTTAAACGTTCAAGGGTAGTTTTTTTTTTTTACGTCAATGACGTCAGAGAAAAAATATTAACTAATAAATGTATATATACATTGGATATTGTATTTTAATATTATTATTATTTTTTTCTTTTTTTTTGTAAATCTCTCAAAGGAATTGAAACGTAGATATCGATAAGACGTTTTTTGATGTTTTTTTATTCGTTTTTAAAATTGTATCTAAACATTTTAAATGTTATGTGTTTTCTTACAGGAATTTATTTTTCTCTCTCTCTCTCTCATTGTCTCTATCTCTGTCTCTGTTTCTCTCTCTCTCTCTGTGCCTTAATCTCTGTTACTTTCACTCTTTGGCTGCATCTCTGCTTCTCTTTCTCTTTCTTTCTGTTTCTGTCGCTTTTTCTTTCTGTCTTACTCTTTCCCCCCATCTTTCACTCTCTCTTTCTCTCTCTCTCTTTTTTTTATTAGCTTTTCCGCTGCTTTTTTCAAATCTTCCTTTTTTTCTTTTTATTTCGCTTCCGTCTTAAAGTGCTTCTTTTTAACAAAAAAAAAAAAGGCACTCAATCAATTTTTGACTCCTTCGTTTTATTTTCTTTCTTACTTTCCCCCCCCCCACAAAATCCACTACAACAGTTTTCTTCTTACTTCCTTCCTTTCTTTCTTTCTTTATTGTTTTTAATTATTTTTTCGCCGGATTAATTTTTGACGTTTTTTCTTATTCTTCTTCTTCTTCTTCTAGTTTTTTATAAACGATTGAAATTTTTTTCAACAACGTTTGTTTTTTATTTCCGTTTTTTCAATTAAAAAAACTCGCGTGTTACAGAAAAAAAATTTGAAGTTTTGTAATTAATCAAATTCTAAATTTAGTAATTAAAAATTTTTTTGTTTTTTAAAACCGGGTATTACGTCCAAAAAAAACATACGTCACGCTATTAATAATAATAATAATAATAATTTTTTTCACATATCGAAATTATTCTACCAGTTTTACGATTTTTTTCTCCGAAAAAAAAATGAAGAAAAATTTTTTTTCTTTTAGGATTTAAGTACGAAACACTCAATATGTCGAAACTTTGTTGGTTCTGACATTTGACCTATTAACCTTGGAAAAAAAAATTTAAACGTTTTAAATACGTAAAATTTTAATCCAATTTAATTCTTTTTTCTTATTTAATCGATAAAATTTAAAATGTCCTCCAATTTATAATAATAATAATAATAATAATAATTTTACGCTTCGAATATCATGTTTTAAATTATTATTATTATTATTATTATTGATTTTTAAATCCTGTTTTTTTATATATATATAAATAATTTGTTTTCGTAATTAAATTATATATTCCAGACACGTTGTTTCCATTTTGTTCTCCAAAAAAAAAAAAAAAAAAATTCCATAAACTTTTTTTATTTATTCATTTGTCCTTCCAGAATAAAAAGGAAAAAAAAGGAAAAAATTGAATATTCTATCGTGAAATAATTCAAATTTTATCGCGATTAATAATAATAATAATAATGATGAATTTTTGAAAAAAAAATCGATAAATAATAATAATAATAATAATAATACACTTTGGGATTTTTAAAAGTTCTGGAAAAGAAAAGAAAAAAAAATTAAAATTCCCAACTGATAAGCATAATTGATTAAAATAATTTTTTGGAAAAAAAAACATTCTGGAAAATGACTGGAATGACGGTTTTCTGTTTTTATAATTTTATTTTAAATTATACGCGTCTCGATGAAAAAATTTTCCAGACGTTTTTGTTCTCTGGAAAAAGGTGAGAAAATTTTTTTTGAAAAAAGTTCAATTTTTTATTTGATGGATAGAAATAGGTATGAGAGAGGGTGGAAGGATGGATAAATAAAAACTACGTTTACATTTTTCGAAGAAAAAAAAACTGTCGGTTAAATGATAATAATGATGATTATTTAGAATAAAAATATGATTACGTCACAGGGAAAACTTCATTTTTTTTTTTTTTTACATTCGTGGACGCATTTTATTTAATAATTTTGTTTTACAGGAAAAGTGGATGAAAAAGCAACGCAACTTCACGCAATAGCATCCCTTAAAGTTTTGTTGGATGCCACGAAGCCTCACAACGGTTCATCTAGTTCCACGGCGGCAAATCATGTGACCTTAACAAGTCAGTTAAGTCAAGAGACAAGACTGGCAACGAGCGACCAGCCAAATGGTATTGCCACCGGATTAGAAGAAGGCGGTGATCCGGTGAGTACATCAATCACTAAAAATTTTTTCAGAAAAGCGTGGTTTTAGATTTTTTATTTTTTTCTTGAATTTATGCCGTTTATAAACAAATAAATATTTTAATGGAATATTTTTTCCGGGTATTTATCGTTCGATCGGAACAACAAAAAAGGACGAACCATATCATTATTATTTTTTCGGATTTTGTCGTGGCAATAAAAAATAACTTTACGTAAAAGCTTTTTTTTGTTTTACATAAAAATTTTTGAGGTTAAAGTCACGAAGTTTTGATTTTTTTTGATAATTTGAAAAAAAAAAGAAATTTTCGTCGCTTCAAAAAAAAAAAAAGTTGAAAAATTGAAATTTTTATTTTAATTAAAAAAATTTATTTTTTTAATTACTGCCACGTTTTTTTTTTTGTTTTTAACACTTTCGTAATATCATCAAACGAAAAATTTAGCGGGGGGGGAGGGGATCTAAAATAATATCAAAAAATAATTTGTCTGTAACGGTAAAAATCGAAATTAAATTTTATCATCTCATTGATCATCTTCTTCCTCCCTCCCTCCCCAATTTAATCAATGATAAAATCAAAAAAAAAAAAAAAATTTTCTCTCTTTTATTTTTATTCCCCCCTCCTCTCACTCTCCAAAAATAATTTAATTACGTTCGATTAATAAAAGTTCGAATTTCGAAATAATAAATTAATAAATTTTTGAACGTATAATAATCGATGATTAATAAAAAAAAAAAAAGGCGTGAGAAGATCTCACAATGGAAAATCAATGGTTGCCAATTTTCCAAAAAAAAAAAAAAAAATGTCCTCCAAATGATTTTCGATGATGATGAAAATATTAAAATTTCATAACATCACACGAACTTTATATATATAAAAACGTGGTGGCATAATATTTATCATTTTTAAGAAAAGGAGAAAAATCAAAGGAAAGAAAAGAAAATATGGGAGGGGAAGAAGACGGTGGGGGAAGGAAAAAACGGGAGAAGAAAGAAAATTTTGATATGAAAATATAAAAAGAAAATAAAAAAGAAAAAAAAAATTTTCTTTTTTTTTTTTTTTGAGAAAATCGATAACGTCATTTTAAAATAAACTAAACTAATAAAAAGGAAGTTGAAAACGACGACGACAACGACAAACAACAAACAACAAACGACGGCAAACGACAAAAACCCGATTAAAATTTATAAATAAAATAAATTTAATAGCTAAAACCTTTTAATTTTTCAAAGGAAAGGAAAAACGAGGGCGGGAGCAGGGGGAGGTGAAGAAAGTTTAAAAGGGGAGGCGGATGGAAAGGAGGAGGATAAGGAGGGGGAGGGGGCGGGGAAATCCAATAATCTGGCTTATTGCCACTCTTTTGATTTTGGCATCTCCCAATGTGCTTTTACACAATACAAAACTATACCATTAATCAAATAAAAGGAAAGAAATAAAAGGAAAGGAAAAGGAAAAAAAAAATTTATTTTATTTTATATATATATATTAAATTACTTAGAAAGAGGGGTGAGGGGGAGGAAGGCAGGGATGAATGGGAAGAGGAAGGGGAAGGGGGAGTAGCGAAAGAGAAAACGGGATGGAAAATGAGTGTGCGTGTGCGTAACGGATAAATTCCGTTTTTAAAATTTCTACTCGGGATTTTATTGCAATTTTCTAACTAAGAACAATAAAAAAAAAAAAAGCAGAAGAAAAGAAAAAGCAGCAGAAGAAAAAGGAAAAGATCGATAAACCTTAACCCCAAGGTGGTGAAAAAATTTTTTTGATTTTGTAAAATGACCCAATTTTTTCATTGTTATTCGAAATGAAAAAGTTTTTTCCAGTTCGTGTAGTAATAATAATAATAATAATAATAATCGTAGTTTATCATTTTATCCAGAAATTTTTAAAGGGGAGGGAGGGGAGGGGGATGAAGATTTGTAATAATTCATTACATTCTCCGTCGTCGCATTAAACGGAAGTTGGTGTGGTGGAAGGGAAAAAAAGTTGGTCAGTTTTTTTTTTTTTAATAAAAACTGACCAAAGTAATTTTTTTTTTTAAAAACACAAATCATCATCGATATATCGATTTATCGATTTTATTAATTTTTTTTTTTTACGTATAAATTTTTAATGGATTTTTTTTTTTTTTTTGTTTGGGATGTTTTTGTTTGTTTTTCTTTCTCGTCGATTTTTCTTTTTTTTTTTTTTGAATAAAAATTTCTTCACCTAAATTTTCTTTTTTTCATTCGATCTGCGAAAACTAACACATGTCATATTTTCTTTTCCTGTCTCTAATGGATTTTTTTTTGTGAAATCCGATCTGGAAAAAAAAAATGGGGGGAGGGAAGAAACGATGAAATTTCTAATTTTCTTTTATTTCTTTCTACAAAAAAAAACAACAAAAAAAAATTTTTTTCTTTTTATTTTTATTTTGATTTTATTTTTTTTTTTTTTTAAACGTGTAAATAGAAAAAAAAGCAAAAACGATTTTTACCCTTTTTTTTTTTTTAAAAAAATTTCTACGATCGTTTTACGCGAGTGAATTTTTACTTAATTTATAAAAAAAAAAAAAAAAACTGAAATGAATGTGAAAGTTTTGTTCAAGTGTTTCCGGTTTCGTTTTTTAATTTTTCCTTTTTTTTATCATTTCCCTTTTTTCAAAATTTTTTTTTTTCCGAATTTTTACTAATAAAAATCTTTTGTTTTAGAAACCAAAAAGTAAAGTTTAAGACATGGGTTGCCCTATTTGTTGTTGTTGTTGTTGTTTGATATGTTTACGGAAAGGTTTTCCCCTTTTTGGTTTTCTTTTAAAAGATTTTCTTTCCGGGTAACCTTTGTTGGGAAGGAAAAAGTTTAAATTTTCACTGATTAAAAAAAAATAAACGTGTGAGAAAATTTTCTTTTTTAAATTTTCCATAAATTTAATTAATTAAATTTAATCGCGATTTTTATCTTTTCGATTGTTGTTTGTTTTTGTTTCGATTGTTTGTTTTTTTTTAAATTGTCGCACAAATGTAAAAAATTAATTTTTAAAATTGTTTAACATAAATAAATTTATTAAATTTGTTTCCTTTTTTTTTTTATAAATTTAAATTCAATCGTGTTAGTAAAAAGTAAAAAGAAAATTTTTTATTTTTTTTTATTTGTATGACGTCATCACAAATCGATTTTTGTCGTCACTTTTTTTTTTTTTTTTACGTTTCCTATCTTCAATGCCACCACAACACAGGAGGTTTTTTTTTCTTTTTTTCTTTTTCTTCTTTTTCATTTTCCATCTCTTCTTTTTTTTTTTTTTATATTTGAATTTAGTTGGGAAATGTCCAAATACGCCATGACAATAAAGCACACCCACACAAAAAAAAAAAAAAAAGAAAATCTCGAAATCCTTTTTTTCCTTTCCCTCTCTCTTTCTCTCTCTTTCTCTCTTTGTCTCTGTCTCTTTTCCTTCCATTTTTTACCAAAAAAAAAAAAAATTGAAATAATTACGAGAGAATTAAAAAAAAAAGCAGAAGTGAAATTTTTTATTTTTTAAAAAAAAAAGTATTGCGGTTTTTTTTTTACTTTTTGAAACTGGATTTTACTTCCTCTCTCTCCATCTTTCTTAACAAAAAAAAAATGAAATGAAATGATATGAGATAAAAAAGAAAAAGAAGAGGAGAGAAAAAAACGGGATGAAAAGAGGTAGAAGATAAAAAAAAAGAGAAAAAAGAAAAGATGAAATCGTTATGCGGTAGGAACGCGCCAAAAAAAAAAAAAAAAAAATTATTTTTTGTAAAAATTTGTTTAAAAGTTTTTCGAATTGATTTTTTTTCTCTCCCTCATTTTTTTTTTAAATTTTAAATAAAAAAGATGGAAAACGAGAAAAAGTTTTTGTTTTGAAAATGGAAGGAGGAAGAGAAAGGAGAATGAGGAGGATGAGGAGGAGGAGTCGTGGGAAAGTAAGAAGGAAAAAAAATTTATCAGTTAAAAACAAAATAAAAAGAAAAAAAAATCTTATTAAATTTTTAATTAGTTATTAATAAACAATCGATGAAAAAACAAAAACGTATAATAATAATAATAATAATAATAATAATAATAATATTGATTACCTTAATTGCAAAACAATAAATAAATAATTTTTTAATATTATCGATTTTTTTACTCCCCCTCACCCTCCCACTTCCACTCCCACTCACTTTTGTTATTAAATCAGTTTATTTATTTATTTTTTTATTAAAAACTTTTGATTTTCTATCTTTGTCTTTCTTTTTGCATTCTCGTTATTATAAAACGAACAACAACAACAACAGAAAAAAATCATTTCGTGCAAAAAGTAATAAAAAAATTACGAATAATAAGAATTATAAAATTTGAGGAAAATGTCGTGTCACGGCCCTTTTTCGAAAAAAAGGAAAAAAAAGGAAAAAAGGAAAAAACTTTTTAGATTTTTTCATGTTATTTAAATTTTGACCTTTTTTTTGACACGGAAGAAAGGAAAAAAACAAAAAAAAGAATAAAAAATAAAGGAGAAAGAGAGATGGGAGTTTGAGGAAAGGGGGGGGAAAAAGGGAGAAGGAAAAAAGAAAAGCAGGATGCTAAGCAGACGGATTAAAAAAAAAAAAAAAAAAAAAAAAAACGTCAGGAGACTTTTTAAAAAATTATTTAAAATCGCTTTAAGGGGAGCTTAAAAAAAATTTTCCTTTCCTTTTTCTCTCTCTTTAAATCCGCACCCTTTATATCATAATTGTTTTTTTTCTCTCTTTCTTTTTTTCTTTTTTTATTACCGTTTACGTGGATTAAAAAATTTCAAACGTAAAAAATCGATTAAAAATGTGAACGTTGTTTATATTTAAAAAAAAAAATCTCTGGAAATTTCTAGAATTTTTTATTTATTTATTTACTTAGTTAAATATTATAAAAAACATTTTTTTCTTTTCGTTTCCCCCCCCCTCAAAAATTCTTTTTCTGCATTTTTTTTTCTTACACCTGCATTTTAAAAAAAAAAAAAAATCCTAAATATTTTTTAAGAAAAAAAAAAATTTATATAAATTCGTCGTGACCTTTTTTAATTCTGGAGAAATTCCAAAAAACTGGAACTGAAATGCATACCTAGTCAGTCCTCCTCTTTTTATTTAACATAATGAGATTTTTTTCAAAATGATTTTTCTCCCTTTTTTTGTGGCCTCTTTTCTTTTATCTTTCCCTTTCTCTCTCTCCCTTTCTTTCTCTCTCTCCCTTTCTTTCTCTCTCTCTCTCTCTGTCTCTCTTTGTCATCTCTCTAATCCTTTCTTTTTGTATTTCGTTTCTTTAATTCATCATTTATTATCTTTTTTTAATTTAAAAGAAAAACAAAAAAAATTAACGAAGAAAATCAAAAAATTTTTTTTAATTTTAATTTTTTTTTTTTACTCTCGAATGATTTTTTTTTAATTTTATAGCTCGCACGCACGAACTATATTATATAGCAAGTTGAAAAAAACGTTAATCGCGCTATAAATTTTAGTTATCGACGACAAAAAAAATTTTAAATCATTTATTTAAATAAAATAATAATTATCATCGATATTTTTTTATTTAAAAAATGATTATTTAAAATAAAAAGGAAATTATTAATAATTGTGACGTCATTATAAAATTTAATAACGATGACGTTTCAACGAAAAAACGTTTATTTTTCCCTTTTTTGTTCTCTCTCGTGTAAAAATTTTTTTTTTCTTTTTTTTTTTTATTATTTGGTTATTTCCGTTATGAATACATTTTTATGAAAACATATTTTTGATTTATGATTGAAGAAAATATTAAAAATCCAAAGATTTATTGATATAAATAAAAGTGAATATAGAGGTAGGTAAACGCGTTGTTATAAATATTAAAAAGATTTACAATTTTCAATCTTTTTTTTTTTTCACTCTTCTTTGACCTTTCACCTCTTCCCTCCCCTCTCCCTTCCCTTCCCTCCTCCTCGCGTTCCCCAACACTTTTTCTCTCGTAATTTTTTTAGTTTTTTTTTTTTCCAATTATAAAAAAATTGTCTCGCGTTTTGTGTTTAAAGATAAAATGGCGTTAAATAAACGTGGAATTAATAATAAAAAAAATAATAATTAATTAATTTTTTTTTTTTTATCGTTTTCCATTAACGACTTTAAAAAAAAAAAAAATGAAAAAATATTACAATAAAATGGGGAGCAAAATATAATAAAAAAAGAAAAAAAATTTTAAGGGTTTTTCAAGAGGGGGTTTAATTGATTTTCCATATCATTCGTTTATCATTAAAAACTTGATAGTAATATTATTATCATCACTGACCACTTTACGTATGATTTTTTTTTTTTTTTGTTATCCTTTTGAATAATTTTTCTACAGAATTCTAATAATAATAATAATGGAATTTTTTCCAGTTTTATTTAAATGAATCCTTTTGAGATTAATAAATACGATTATTAAATATGAAGAAAAATAAAAATGTCCAAAATTTATTAAATTTTATATTCAAAAATTATTATTATTATTATTATTATTATTATTATTATTATTATTATTATTATTATTTGACGTGATGTTTTATTAAAAGACGTGACGTAAGATTTTGGATTTGAATTTTAAAAAAAATATGAAAATTTAAATTTTAGTAAAGTATTCAATAAAGTCAATTTTAAGTGGATTAAATAAAAGTGAATAAGGGTTATTAAAAACGAAAGGAAATCGGGATGTGAAAGAGAGTGAGAGAGAGAGAGAGAAAGAGAGAAAGATAGAATTTAATTTTGATTGAATGCGGGCAATTACGATTTCCGGTTTGAATAAAGAAAAAAAAAAGCGAATTGTAATTGTGCGGATTGAATTTTTTGTTTCCTCAAATTTATCCCATTGTTTTCTTTTTTTTTTTTTTTGTACAAATATTTTTATTTTGTTCCGTCACGGTCGAAAAAATAATAATAATAATAATTAGTAATAAAAAAAATTACCCGTAATAAAAATATTGAAAAGTTATTAATTTGCATTTATTAAAGAGTAATAAGTTTAAATTAAAAAAAAAAAAATTTATTTATAAATTAAAATCGTTAATTATTTATTTATTTTTTATTTATTTAATAAATGTATTATCGATGTAAAAAAATAGAATGTCTAGCAGACGATAATTAACAAAAAAAAACAACATCAAATTAAAATTCACGAAAGTAAATAATTAAAAAAAAAAAAAAACTTTGTTTATTATCGTTAAAAAATGTAAACAAAAGAAGAGGATTTTAAAATTTAAATGTCCAATTTTCTGCGTTCTGATTGGTTGAAATTTAATAATGGCGTCTCCGTCACGTTGTTTTGGTTATTTTTTTGGCCAATGTAACGGTCATTTAAATTTTAACTTTAAAAACCAAAAAAAAAATTTTTTTTAACGTTTTATGCTTCCTAAAACCACGTTAAAAATTAAATTTAATAATAATAATAATTTTTCCTTTATCGATTTGACGTAAAATAAAAAATATCGCAATAATAATAATTATTATAATTAGTATTGGTATTGTCGTTGTTACATTTATTGAAATTCGTTTTAATTTCCTTAATATAAATAAATAATTTGAATCGTTAATAATAATAATAATAATAATCTGTTTATTTTAAATTAATTAAACGACGTTTCAACGTAATTTGTTTAATAATAATTTATTTTCGTTAATCGGGAAAAAAAAATTTTTTTGATTTCCATAACGTTTTTCGTCTAATTGAGAAAAATTAATTAACATAATAAATTTTTTAATGTTTATTTATTTATTTATATAAATGAATATTATTATTATAAATATATTTATATAAATGAAATTGGGGAGGAGGCAGTGAAAAATAAATTAAGGCAAAAAAAAAAAGAACGAGGGAAAGGAAGAAGAAGTTTTGAGAAAAATTTATTACTTAAAAAAATTGGTTTTTGGGCTTTTTTTTTAGTAAAAAAAAAAAAAAAAAAAAACATTTTTCCTCTCCTTCCCCCTCTCCCCCCTCCCCGTTAAATTAAAGTAAGATAGTTGAAATTTTAGCCTCTAGTTTTACTTTATTTACAACTTTTATGGAACCACTAGAAAATAAATATCTATATATGTACAATAATAATAATAATAAAGTTTTTTTTTTTAGTTTTAGTCTTACCATATTTTTATTTTTTTTTTTTTATGTATACGGTTAGAAAAAAAAACTAAAAACTTTTTTTTTAAAAAAAAAAAGATGAAAAATCAAACATAATAACTAAAAATTTAGTTTTTTTTTTTTTTTTGGAGAAGAAGAAAAAGAAGAAGATGAAACGAAGAATACCTTTGAAGGAAAAAAAAAGAATTTTGTTACTATCATTGATTAATTTTCTAATATTAAATTAGCGGGAAAGGAAAGGGGGGTAGGGGAATTTTTTTTTTTTGATTTCGAGCCAAATGAAATTTGCTCAAGCTCCAAAAAAAAAAAAAATTTTTTTTTTCTTATACTAATGGAAAATAATGGAATCATTATTGTTTTGTTTTTTCCAGGGAGAAGAAAACGAACCTCTCGATGCATTAGATATGTCATGGCCTGATACAGCTCGTAAGAGACTAACATATATTTTAGTGGCTCCTATAATATTTCCTTTGTGGCTTACATTACCAGATACAAGAACACCCAGGGGTGAGTTTAACTCAAAAAAAAAAAAAAAAAAATTTAATTTTATTATTAAAAACGTCCTTAACCTTAAATAAATATTATTATTATTATTAATTTTTAGGTAAAAAGTTTTTTGCCGTGACATTTTTAGGAAGTATATTATGGATTGCAGCTTTTTCGTATTTCATGGTTTGGTGGGCAAACGTTGCTGGAGATACCGTCAGAATACCTCCAGAGGCGAGTTTTTATTTTATTTTGTAAATAATATAAATATGTTTTGTAAAATATCAATCATTCATTTAATTATAATAAATAATAAACAGGTTATGGGATTGACGTTTTTGGCTGCTGGAACATCAATTCCAGATCTCATAACAAGCGTTATAGTTGCAAGAAAAGGTTTTGGTGATATGGCTGTTTCTTCTTCCGTTGGAAGTAATATCTTTGATGTTACCGTTGGGTAAGTTAAATTAAATTTTTTTTTTTTTAATTAATTACAATGTTCAGAAAATGATTTAATTAATAATGATAATGATGATGATTATTGATGAAATAAAGGTTACCAGTGCCTTGGCTTCTGTATGCAATTATTTATGGGAAACACGTTGAAGTTAACAGCGTCGGAATGGTTTGTTCAATTTCAATTCTATTCATGATGTTAGTTTTTGTGATATTATCAATCGCTTGTTTCAGATGGAAAATGAATAAAGGATTAGGATTCACAATGTTTCTTTTATATTTTGTTTTTGTTGCCGTTTCTCTTATGTTCGAATATGAATTGCTTGTTTGTCCCGTTTAGTTAATTAAATACTTACTTAAAATAATAATTTTTCTGTTTTTTTTTGGAGGGGGGTGGGATGGAATGGGGGGAGGGAGGGGGGGTTACCGAAGGGGAAAAAAAGAAAATCGGAAACGCTTATTTTTTATTGTTATTTTTTATTTATTTTTTTCTTTTCGTACAGTGTTCAAAGTAATAAATTTTCTTTTTTTTTATTATTATTATTAAATTTATGCACAAAAATTTATGTAACGTATTTTAATAAAGAGGAAGAGGAAGAAAAAAGAAAAAAAAACGATAAAAGGAACAACAACCACAACAAGAAGTAAAAAAAAACGTATTTTTTTTTTTATTATATATTTTAATTTCGGATCCCATTATTATTATTATTATTATTAAATATGGATTTGGGTTTTACGGTCATAGATTTTGAAACGAAATTGATTTTATTTTTTTTAAAATAATTTTAGAGAAAAAAATAGTAAATAAATAAATAAAATTTATTAATAATAACATTAGTAGGTTGGGTTTTTTTTTTAAATTAATATTAATTGAATATTTTTTTCTTCTTTTTTCTTTTTTGCTACTGCCACGTTACTTTTTTACTAAGAAAGTTTTTTTTTTTTTCTTTTTTTTCTCCACTCTTAAAATAAATCTTTGGAATCCATTAAATATACATAAAGTAGAAAAATAAAAAAAAATTTTTTACATATCGTTTTTTGACAGATAAAAAAAAATAAGATAAATTTTTTTTTTTTTAAATTCGTTTCGAAATTGATGACCGATCGTGAAAAGTACGTACAAGAGTTTTTTTTTTTTTTTTCTTTTAAATTTTTCTTTTTATTTTTTCCGTCAAGAGAGAGACAGAGAGAAAGAGAAAAAGAAAAAAGAAGGACTGATAGAAAGTTATAATAGAAAATAAAAAAAAAAAAATATTTTTCTATAAAGGTATTGTTGGGTATTGAATTATATATATATATTATTAAAAAGAGATAGAAAAGTTTATTGAAAACGTTTTATCATTATTAATAATAATAATAATAATAATAATAATAATAATTTTCTTTTTTTTCGAGGGGAAAAATATCACGAAACAGTATTTTAATAAGAGTAAACAAAAATTATTTAAACGGTATAGAATTTTTAAAATAAATATATATATATATATATATATCTATTATTATTTAGAAAATGATGATGATGATAATAATAATAATAATTAAAACGATGTTGAGTTTAGAGAGATCGATTAAATAAAAAAAAATATTTATACATATATATTAAATATTTATCGAAGTGTTACGAATAGTTAGTTTAGTAAAAAAAAATTAATTTGATCGTAGTTCGATTTGATTATTATTATTATTATTATTATTATTATTATTATTATTATTATTATCGTTTTTTTTTTTTGTATTGCGAATGTTATTTTTGCTGCTGTTGCTGCTGCTGGTGCTGGTGGTGATGCTGGCGCTGCTCACGTCATATTAGCAATAATTAAATAAATTAAAAATTTTTTTTTCATGGAAAAAAACGTTTAATAAAATTATTAATAATTAATTAAAAAATTTATTTATTACCGCAAATAAAAAATTTATTTATTTATTTATTAACGAATAAGTAATTTTTTTTTGTGTGTATGTATGAGTGTGAGAGTGAAAAAAAAATTTTTTATTTTATTTTTATTACTTTGAAAATTTTTCATAATTTTTTTTTTTTTTTACGAGTTGTTAAATTACTTTTTTTTATAACATTTATGTAATTTATAATTTTATTATTATTATTATTATTATTATTATTATCATTACTTTTTAATTTGAATGTTTTTTATGTTTTTTTTTTTGCTTTTTATATTATCATTATTATTATTTTTATAATTTAATGAGTTCGTTAAATCATTGCTTTGCTTAAATGCGTGGTTTTTAATTTTTTTTTTATTTTTTCATTCTCACATTTGAAAAAAAAGCAGCAAAAGTAATAAATAAATAAATAAAAAACATTAATAATTGAATTTATCAATAATAATAATAATAATAATGTAACCGACAACATGAGAGTAGGGATTTATTAAATTTTTTTTTTTTTTTTAATAGTTAAAAATAAAAATAAAATTTATTAAAGTTTTTAATAAAAAAAAAAAAAAAAAAGTAGACAGAAAAGTTTGTAGAGAATCTAAAAAAAAAAAAATGTCGTCCGAAATAGAAGCGAAAAAAAAAAAAAATTTTAAAGCGTTTTTATATATAAAAATATTAAAGCGCACTCGTTTATATTCTAATGTTATAAATAAATAAATAAATATGTTATGTATTACAAAAAAAAACAATAAATAAATAAGTGAAAAAAACCCTTAAATATTTATTTAACTTTTTCTCTTTTTATTATTATTATTATTTAATTTATAAAATTAATTTAATTTATAAAATTATTTTTTAATTTTTTATTACATATACATTTACATAATGATTATTATTATCATTATTATTATGTTAAAATTACTTATAATCATTTATTATGTTTATAATTTAACAAAAACAAAAAGAAAATCTATATCATTTAATTATTATTATTATTTATTTTTATTTAAAATATTTAAGGGTTTAATTATGCTTAAAGTAATTAAATAAAACAAATTATAATAAATAAAATAATAATAAAAAGTAGTATATAAATAATAATAATAATAATAATAATAATAATAAAAGTTTTATTGATAGAAAGCTCATTATTGATTAGATATTTAATTGATAAAAAAAATTATATATATATATATACATTCACATATATAAATATGTATATATATATAAATATTTATTTATTTTATAAATTAGTATATAGAGTTCTAAAAAAAATTAATTTTTTTAATAAGTTGTTAAATAATATAAAATAAATTAAATGAAAATGCTAAAAAAAAAATATATATATAAATAAATAAATAAGTAAATAAAATTTAGTTTAAAATAAATAAAAAAGCTTTTATTTAATAATACAGTAAATATATGTACATGAATGTGTATATGTATATATATGTATACATATACAAAAAAA